GGGGGCGGCGGGCTTAGACAGGCGGTCAAACATGAACGGGCGGACAATCCTTCGTGGGCGTACATGTGCCCGCCATTGGAATTGGCGTGGGCCCTGCAAAAAGGAGGGGGAGAACGAGGGAGAGTGGGAGGAAGGGAGGGGGAGGGACGAAGGAAGAGGGAAAACGCCAGGAGAGAAGGAGCGAAGAGGGGGGCGGTTGATTAGAGGCAGAGAGAGAGAGAGAGACAGATAAGAGAGGTAGAGAAAGAGAGAGAGAGGGGAGAGAAAGAGAGAGAGAGAGAGAGAAAGGAAGAAAGAAAGAGGGAGGAGGCAGGAGAGGGGAGGGAGAAGGGAGGAGGGAGAGGAGGGAGAGGGGAGGAGAGGGGATATGGCAGAGAGGCATAAGGATGAGGGAAGAGAGGAGGAAGAGAGAAGGGAGGAGAGGAGGGAGGAGGGAGGAGGGACAGAGAGGAGGAGCAGGAAGGTAAGAGCGTGAACGTTCGAGGAAGTCCTAGGCGAAAGTGCCGTTCCTGAATGAAGTCTCGGGCGGTAGCCCACGACGGGCGGGCGATCCCTTGACGGGCGGGTGGGGCGGGTGGGACATTCAAGCGAGATGCCTGAGTATGGCGAGAGCGCGATTCCAAAGTAAATTGTGACGGCGTCCTTGGCGCAGCGTGTTTCCTGAGCGTCGAAAGCGCGATTTCTGAATAAATTGCATGGAAATCACAAGCGAGAGCGCCATTCCTGAATAACATGTGAAGGGTTCTCTGGCGGGAGCAGGGGTCTTGATTCAATTGCGAAGAAGTCTTGACTCAATTGCGAATAAGTCTCAAGCGGGAGCGCTGTTCCTGAGTAATTTGTAAGGAAGTCTCAGATGGGAGCGGGGGTCCTGACTAAATTGCGAAGAAGACACCGGCGGGAACACCGATCCTGAGTAAATTGTGAGGAAGCCTCAGGCGGGAGCGGGGGTCCTGAGTAAATTTGGAGGAAGTCTCAGGCGGGAGCCGTTGCTGTTGTAATCCGGGGGGCCAGGGGCACAGTTTGAGCACCAAGACTTTCCCTGTCAAAAAAACGGGGTGCGAGCGTCGAGGGGCGCACTTTGATTTAGAAAAAACAGAATGCACAGGTGAGGGGGGATCAACAGTAGTTATCTTCAGAAATGAGAGTTCAACACCAACAACAACAACAACAACAACAACAGCAACAACACCACCACCAACAACAACAACTTTACCCTCATGCGCGACGTTTCCATCCCCATCATGGGGGACTCTTGTTCTACAGCGGGGTCCGTTATTCCCATTCCCAGATACCCCGCCCAATGAGGTCTTGCAAACACCTCCTTCGAGGAATTTCGACATATCCCGCCTCGAAAACACATGCCCGCGCCTTGCTGCGCCGATGCGAGACCGCCAGTGGAGCCCCAACCAAAGGTAAAGCACAAGGAAGTATCGAACGACAGGATTGCCTTGGTGGGGATCGGGGCTGTCGGTGGCGAGGCAAGGACATGGCCCTGAATAGAAAGGAAGTCTCGAGCAGGGCCGCTATTGTTGCTGGGACACTAATGCTGAAGAGAATAGTAGGGCGCTAGTCCAAAGTAAAACGGGAGGATGTCTCGGGCGGGAGCGCTGGTTTTGTCGGGACGGCGGTTTTCGGCGGCGACGAGGAGCACCGCCTTGAGTTAAAAAGGGAGGAAGCCTCGAGCGGGAGCCGTGGTTTTGTCGGGACGGGGACTGTCGGCGGCGAGGAACAGTGCCGTCCTGAGGAAACAAAAAGGACTCCTCGAGCGGGAGCGTTGATCTTGCTGGGAGCGGCGCCAATTCAAAAGAGAATAGGGCGCCAGTCCAAGGTAAAACGGGAGGAAGTCTCGGGCGGGAGCACTGGTTTTGTCGGGGCGGCGGTTTTCGGCGGCGAGGAGGAGCACCGCCCTGAGTACAAAAGGAAGGAAGTCTCGAGCGGGAGCGTTGTTATTGCCAGGGGCGGCGCCGATGAGAGAAAGAGTAGCGCGCCAGTCTAAGGTAAAACGGGAGGAAGTCTCGAGCGGGAGCGCTGGTTTTGTTGGGACGGCGGCTTTCGGCGGTGAGCACGAGCACCAGCCCCGAGCAAAAAAGGAGTAAGTCTCGAGCGGGAGCGTTGTTGCTGTTGGGGGGCTGGTTGTGGTGCCCCCCCAAACCGCTCGAGCGTGAGCCTCATTTTCAACATGTAGCCAGCGCCGAAGCGAAATCGCCAGGGGGCCTGGGGGGTCCAACAATAATAATTGTTTTGTAATCAACATACAACGCCAGCAGTAACAACAAGGCAAAACAACCGGCTGGTGGACCCTGGTGGACCCGGTGAGGGTCCACCAGCTCGCTGTTTCGCTCCTTGTGGCGAAACATCTCACTGGTAGACCCGGACCCCCCTCCCCCCCCCCCGGCAACGCAACGCAACGCAACGCAACGCAACAGACGGCTGGCAACAGAAACCAAAGGAAGCCGTTGGAAAATCCTCTGAAATCCTTCGGGATCCTTAAGAAAGCCGACGCATTCCCACGAGCTGAAACTATGTGCGCTCCCCCGAGCCGAAACCTTCGGGCATGCTATAGAATCCTTAAGGTATGCTATAGAATCCCTAAGGGAAGGCCGCAGAGACCCTAAGGGATGCTATGAAATCCCTAAGGGATGTTATAGAATCCCTAAGGGATGCTCTAGAATCCCTAAGGGCTGCTACAGAATCCGTAACGGATGCTATGGAATCCCTAAGGGCTGCCATAGAATCCCTTAGGGCTGCCATAGAATCCCTTAGGGCTGCCATAGACTCCCTGAGGGATGCTATAAAACCCCTAAGGAATGCGATGCAATACCGAAAGGCTGCTATAGAGTCCCTGAGGGATGCTATAGAATCCCTAAGGCATGTTATAGAATCCCTAAGGGATACCATAGAATCCTTGAGGGATCCTATAGAATCCTTAAAGGGATGCTATAGAATCCTTAAAGGGGTGCTGTAGAATCCTTAAGGGGATGCTATAGAAACCCTAAATGATGCTATAGAATCCTTAAAGGGGATGCTATCGAATCCTTGAGCGATGCTGTAGAATCCCTGAGGGATGCTATAGAATCCTCAAAGGGATGCTATAGAATCCCTAGGGCTGCTATAGAATCCCAAACGGATGCTATAAAATCCCCAAGGGATGCCATAGACTCCCTGAGGGATGCTATAGAATCCTTGAAAAGGGATGCTATAGAATCCCTAAGGGGATGCTATTGAATCCCTAAGGGGGTGCTCTAGAATCCTTAACGGGACGCTATAGAATCCTTCAGGGATGCTATAAAATGCCTGAGGAATGCTATAGAATCCATGAGGGATGCTCTAGAATCCATAAGGGCTGCTATTGAATCCCGAACGGATGCTATAGAATCCCTAAGGGATGCTATAGAATCCCTATGGGCTGCTATAGAATCCCCATGGGTCCCGGCGTGTTGCCCGGCGTCCCCCAGTGGCCTGCCCCAGAGGGGGGAGGCGCATGCCCAAATGGCTTGAACCACAAATGAAGAGTCCCAAAGGATTCCTACAAGATTCGTAGATGACTCGTAGAGGGCCTATAGGATTCCCAAAGGAATCCTATGGGATTCCCATAGGAATCCTAAAAGCCCTGTAGGATTCCCATGGGATTCCTATGGGATTCCCATAGGAATCCTAAAAGCCATATAGGTTTCCTACAGGCTTCCTATAAGATTCCTATCGGATTTGTACAAGGCCCTATAGGCTTCCTATAGGATTCCTAGGGGATTCCCATAGAATTCGTAAAGGCCCTATAAGATTCCTATAAGATTCCCATGGGATTCCCATAGGATTCGTAGAGGCCTATGGGATTCCTGTGGGATTCCTATAGGATTCCTGCAAGGTTCGCGGAGACCCTATAGGCTTCCCATAGGAATCCTACAGGATTCGGGGTAACGTGCGCTGCGTTGCGTTGCGTTGCGTTGCGTTGCGTTCCGTGGCGCCGGGGGGGGGGGGGCCGGCGCCAGTGAGTGGTTTCGTCAACAAGAACAACACAAACAACAATAACAACAACAACTACAACAACTGCAACTACAACTAAAACTACAAGTACAACTACAACTACAACTACAACTACAACAACAACAACAACTACTACTACTACTACTACTACTACTACTACGACTACGACTACGACTACTGCGACTACTACGACTTCTACTACGACTACTACTACGACTTCTACTACTTACTACTACGACTACTACTACTTACTACTACGACTACTACTACTACTGCTGAGACTACGACTACTACTACTACTACTACTGCTACTACTACTACTACTACTACTACTACTGCTGCTGCTGCTGCTGCTGCTACTAGTACTACTACTCCTACTACTGCTACTGCTACTACTACTACTACTACTTCTACTACTACTACTACTACTACTACTACTTTTACTTTTACTACTACTACTACTACTACTACTTAATACTACTTAATACTACTTACTACTACTACTACTACTACTACTACTACTACTACTACGACTACGACTACTACTACTACTACTACTACTACTACTACTACTACTACTACTACTACTACTACTACTACTACTACTACTACTACTACTACTACTACTACTACTACTACTACTACTACTACTACTACTGCTATTACTACTACTACTACTACTACTACTACTACTACTACTACTACTGCTACGATTCCTACGACTACGGCTACTGCGACTACTACGACTTCTACTACTACTACTACTATTACTACTACTACTACTGCTACTGCTACTGCTACTGCTACTGCTACTGCTACTGCTACTGCTACTACTACTACTACTACTGCTACTACTACTACTACTACTACTACTACTACTACTACTACTACTACTACTACACTAACAACTACACCAACACCAACCCCAACACCAACACCACCAACAACAACAGCAACAACAGCAACAACAGCAACAACAACAGAAGCAGCAGCAACAACGGCAACAACAACAACAAAACTGTCTCCGGGCGCGTACTCGGAGGTGGCCGTGACGACGAGGTCGATGTGTGCGTCACCGACCGTGCCGAGCCCCGTGAACCTCAGGTTCGCCTGTCGGCGTGGGGCCGGTCTGGGGGGCGCGCGGCTCGCAGACAGAAGCCCCGCAGACGCACGGGGAGGGGCGGGCGATGCCCAGTCTGCACCGCGCGGGTCCCGGCACCGCCCATCCCGGGCCCAGGGATTGAGACCCGGCAAGATGAGGATGAATTCGGAGAGGGTACGGAAGGTTCGTGTCGTGCCGACTTCGGCGTCGGTTTCTGACACCGCGGGGGTCGTTCAACCTTAAACGATCGGCCGTCTCCGAAACGTCAGATCGTTCGGATCGACCGATTCTGGGCCGGCGGCGGCGCTCAACGTGGAAGTCCGGCGGGGTCGCCGCCGCTCGACGCGACGCGAACCCACCGTACAGCGGGAATGCGGTGAGGGCATTCGCTCACCTCGGACCCCCGGGGGGCTTGCCAGCACCAGATTCGACGGGGCGCCGCACGCGCACGGCGCCCGGGAGGTCCCCGCCAGGGGGGCCCAGGCGGAAGCCTCGGCCCGAGCTCAGCCCCGTGGGCCCGGGGCCGCCTCCCGTCTCCGAGCGGCCCTCGCCGCTCCCTCGGCCACGGCCCCGCGGCCACGAGCGCGAGCCTCCTCGGCGGAGGCGAGGTCCGAGAGAGGCCAGCACTCCCGCGGGTGCCGGCGGGAGTGGGGCGCCGCGGAGCAGAGGCCTCTCGCTGCCGGCCCCGCAGCGGGCCGCGCAGCGTGGCGGGCTCCGCAGAGGAGCCAGCATAGGGTTCGATCGCGCCAGGGACGCGCCTGGCACAACCGCAGCTGCGCAGCGCCTCGAATCCTCAAGAAGAGAAGGAGAAGAAGAAATCATGCGGCGGTGAGGGCCTGGAGACGCCGGACCAGGGTTGGGTCGGGCATGTCCTCCTACAGGCGGATTTTGGACGCAAAATAATAGAATACCCCAGAAGAGCGCAACAAATGCCCAAACATGTAAAACAAATCGTCCCCATATATTTTTGTTGACTGTTTTTGAATCTATTCCTCCTGTAGAGGGATACACCTGACTTAAGACCAGGGGCGAGAAGTGCTCGAGCAATGCCACCGCGCGCTCCACGTCCTGCGTCGCCGGCCCCCCTCATCGCCCATCTCTTTTTGGAACCACTGGACAAGGAATCCAGCATCTTAGAGGCCTCCTAGATGGGGTCGGAGTACATGGAGTCGGAGGATCGCGCCGCATCGCCGATACATCGGCGATGCATCGGCGATGGACTGGCGATGCATCGTCGACGTGGGCAATGCATCGGCCACGTCGACGTGAAGCAAATCGGGCTCAACATCGAGCCGCATCGGCGATGCGGAGCGATCCTCCGACCCTATCTACACGTTGTTCATTTCTAATCGTGCTCATTTCTAATTGTGCTCGTTTCTAATGGTTCCTGGCCCCCTAGTGGCCAGGAAGAGGCCCAGGATGGAACAATTAGAAATGAAAGGATCTTGGCCCCCAAAAAGATCAAAGAACTTCCGCATCATTAGAAATGAGCCATGTGTAGACATCTCGAAAGCCGACGGAGCACCAGTGTGCGCTCGGCCGTGGACGTCACCGCCGCCCGCAGCAGGCGAGGAGGCCTCCGGTGTCTGAGGCCTCCAGAGGGCACGCTCCTCAGCCCACGCCCCCACCGCATCGGAGAGGCGGCGGGTCTGGAGCATGCTCTCGGGCGCCGCGGCTGTTTCAAAGCGATGCAGAGCGCCCTGCGGAGTGTTTAAGGGCGCTCGGGGCCGATCTGTCACGATGATCGGTCTGCAGAGGCGTCCAGCAGGGGGGCGTCCAGGAGGGGGGGCGCACATCGTGGCCGGCGACATGTGTGCGGCCCGCGGGGGGGGCCGGAGACGCAGTAAAATGAAATCTGGGGAAGTATCATGCCCCCCGCCATCATCCCAGACCCCCGACGTCATGGTTTTTTCATGACGCGACCCCCAGAGGTCCAGACCCATTCCCTGGGACCGGTGTTTCATCCCGAATCGTTTTTTGAAGGTCCCGAAGCCTGGCAAGGGCCCCCAGGGGCCAAAAATTAAGGAAAACATTTCGTCGTGATTTTTTCAGAACGCGAGGGGGTCTGGGATATCCCCCCCTAGTCATTCCCCCCCCTCTTGGCCGCCCCAGAAGTCTGCAAAAATGACCCCTGGCCAGGATGGCGTGTGCCTCTGTCCTGGGCCCAGGATGGGCCAGGCCGGGATCGGCGCATCGTGAATGAACGGCACACTCCGAAGACGAGGACTTCCCCTGCCTCGTGAGCAGCGTCTGCAAATCTGCCACGCCGGGCTCATCCAATACACATGACGTCAACCCAGGCCCAGAGATGATCCAACGCATGGAAAAATCAACACGGAGGTGGTTCGCCCTTCTCGGCTTCTAGAGGCCCTCGCTGGGCCCTGGGACCGTCAAAGAACGGAATGAATGCAAGCCGGGTGTCGAAGCACATGGGCAGTAATGCAACACTATGGGCAGTAGTGTCGCACAGCGGCTTTCCAGGCTTCTGCTGGGATTGCCGCGAGCTGTCGAAAATCATACGCATTGCTCTCGCAGACTCTCTTCGCATGCTTGTACAATTCATTCGTCCATGACTGTCTCGGCCTGCCCCGGGGTCGTCTGCCGGCCGGCGGACGCAGCTCCGAAGAAGACGGCTGGAAGACCGCGCGCCGCACAGGATGATCAACCGGTTGCCGGGCAATCTGCGCAAAAATACATAATTGACGGTGCAGCAAGATGCGGCTCAACGGCGGCCGGCGGGCCCTGTCCAGAACTACAGCGTTCGAGATACGACTAATGTATGAATGCGGTATCCTTAACACCTTCCTCAGACACCGCACGTGGAAGCTGTCGAGCTTGGCCAACTCATGTTTCCGGAGCCACGCCGCGTGCAATCCGTACAGCAACTTTGTCTGCACGCAGGCTTCGAAGATCTGCAACTTCCGTTGTGTGGACAAGGTGGAATGAGACCAGACTCGGGCAAGGGTGTCGAACTCAGCCCTGGCGCAACCAAGTCGCCTGCTCAGCTCGGAAGCGATCGATCCATCTGCCGCCAAAACACTCCCCAAATAAACCATGGAGTCCTTTTTGGGGATCTGGGCGCCGTCTGGACTCCTCACGCTCCCTTGGCACCTGATTGTCAGCAATTCAAGCTTCCCCCAATTGAACTTGAGGCCGTAGTTCGTGCCAGCGGCAGCAATAGCCGTCACGTACTCCTGCGCGCGCTCCGTGCTAGTGGCTACGATGAGCGTGTCATCAGCGTACACGAGATCCTCCGTGTCCCCCATGCGGTCGCCCAGCGTGACCCGGGCGTCGCGCAGCAGCACGGTCATCACCATGGCGAAGAGAAAGGGTGAGAGAGGACAACCTTGACAGATTCCCGCGTGCTGCTCGCGGGTCCCTGACGTCACGCCGGCCTCGCGAACCGCGAAGTTCCTGCCCGTGTAGATGGCTTGAATCATTGTCAACATCTTCCCTTGGACTCCGAAGCGCTGCAGCGCTTCCAGCAGAGGGCCCCGGCATGACGCTGTCGAACGCCTTGGCCCAGTCCAGAGCGAGCAGCTCGAGCTGGCCCTCTGCGCTCGACCACGTTTCCTCCAGCCTCCGCCTGGCGAGGCAGATGGCGTCGGTGGTGCCGTGGCACGATTTGAATCCAAACTGGGTGCCCCAGATGCGGCCCTCGGCCCCGGCGTCCTTCAAGCGGCGGAGGAGAAGAGTCGCAAACAACTTGTACCCGGCCTGAAGCAGGCACACTGGTCTGTAGTTGCCGCAGAGCGTGGCGTCACCCTTTTTGAACAATGCAATCACTAAGGAATTGTGCCAAGATTCTGGCACGACGCCCTGGTCCCGACACCGCCGGCACAACGCTAGCGCCCAAGCTCTCGCCGGGGAGTCGCGAGCGCAGACCGCTTTCCAGAAGTCGCCGGGGATGCCGTCACTGCCGCACGCCAGGCCGCCTTGCCCCACTTCATGCGCTTGGCTGCCTCGGTCACCTCCCAGTCTTCGATCTGCCCCAGGTTGACCGGCAAGTCGGGGCCAAGGGGCGTTGTCGACATCGGCGTGGTGTTGCGCGCGGCCCACTGCACCTCCGTCAGGAAGTCTGCCAGCGCGTCCGCACGGACCCGGAGTCAACCAGGTCGCCGCGAACGTTGCGAAGTTTGCCTTGCATCCGCCTGGCCCCTTTACGCAATCTTCGCACCTGGTCCCAGTCGCCCGTCGCCAGGAGGTGTTCCAACCACTCCGCCCTATCCGTTTTCACTGAGCTCTTGACGACGTAATTCAAACGTCTCTCTTCTGCCAGGTCGCCGCGTGTTCTGGCCTCGGTGCGCTTCACGATGAGCGTCATGGTGCGGTCTGAAATCCACGGCTTCCGCGGCGCCGGCGGCGCTATAGGTAGCGTGGCGGCTGCCTGTTTGAAGGAAACCACGGCTGCAGCATCGATTTCGTTGGCCCCGCCGTCGCCCGTGTCGGCGGCCTCCATCTCGTCGGCAAAGGCCATGGCGAAACGGTTGGCATGCTCTGGCAGCCGGAGGGCCCGCAAGTCAGGCCGAGTCGGTTGCTCGCGGCGGGCCTCGATCGGCACCATTATGTCCACGTCCGCCTGCACGAGGAAGTGGTGAGACGCCAGAGCCAAGTCCTTGTTGCTTGCCACTGATTGCAAATGCTCAACCCAATTCTGTGAAACCAAAACAAAATCGATCTGGCCAAAATTGTCCGGCGTGTCAGGGTGAGACGGCTTCTTGCCCGCGTTGTAGCAGGTGACCTGACGATGTGCTGGCTCATGAAATATTGTGTTGCCGATGCAGAGTTTGTGATGCTCGCACAGCTCAACCAGCAGGCTGCGGTTGGAAGCGGCGTTGTGCTCAGCCTCTGGGTGCCCAAACACATGCGGTCCCATGATATGATGATATGCTCTTCTTGCGGGTGGCGCCTGTGCAGGCGCGCGTTAAAGTCTCCAAGCAAAATCATCGGGCCGTGCCGCGACGTCTGAGCGAGGAAAGCTCCAAGAGATGTGAAGAACCGCTGCTTGTCCTCGAAGTTCTTCCCGTTATGCGGCGCGTACGCGCTGCCAACGATAGCTTTCCCGCCTTGCACCCGCAGCTTCACGTATGCCATTCTTGCTGACTCCTGCCTGAAGCCGACCACTATGGGGAAAGGGCCACTGAAGAACGACTCAGGATGAAAGACCCGCTATGGGGAAAGGGCCGGGACTCGCGGGGACCCCGCATTGAACAAACCACGACAACCGCTCTCTTGGGGTGGCTCCACTGGTGGTTTTTGAATTCAAAAACCAGTCCACTGGTCTTTGAATTCGAAAACCAGTTTTTGAATTCAAAAACCAGGTTCAGCCCGACGAGAAGTTGCTGCGCTGAGCCTGCACCTGCCGAGCGTCGCACGCGCCACCGCGCAGGCTAGCACGGCTGTGCGAGCTCCTGGTCCGGCAGAAAACACCAAGCTGGGCGCGATCCCAGCGCGGCTCCGCACCAGAAATAATGATTCGCCGTCTTGCGATTGTTAGCAAAATCGCAGGCCCAGTATTTCACTCTCGAGCTGCTAGCAGAATAGCAGTGATGACGCGAACGTCCTCCGAAGAGCACCATGGAGTACCGCCCTTCCACGCCGCCTGCGCAGGTCTAATCGACATGCGAGAAGCCCCCATCAGAAAGGCAGAGAAGAGAGGAACAACGAACGACGGTGTCTCTGTGTGTGCGTGTGTGGAGATCGTCGTTTGTCTTGCGGGGGGGGGGACCCCAGACACTCAGCTGCCCCAGTTTTTTCGATGCGTGGGCCCTGGAGGTCCAAACCACTTCCCTAGGGCCGGCTTCTGGTCCCGAGCCTTGTTGTTCGACGCTCCCGAGGCCCAGCGAGGAGGCCGAAACCTGCCCAAAGTCCCGCCGCTCCCGTTGGTTTGGGAGCGTCGGCTCTCTGCGGGGAGGTGCCGGCCCGCAACCGAAGCTTTTCGCGCTGGGCACCCCCGCGTGCGGCCCCGCGCGCACCAGCGCCGCGTACAGTGGGGGCCCGACCACCAGAATCTTTCCACAAGAAGCCCAAAGGCGGGTTTTGGAAGAAAGATCCAAAATAGTCAAAACTTCAAAAATAGCCAAAAAATAGTCGAAACATCGTCCCCAGACGATTCCTTTGACTATTTTTCAATACATTCCTCCTGTAGAGGGACACGCCCGACTTACAGTGGAGGCTAGTCCACCAGAATCCTTCCACTAGAAACCCAACCTTGAGACCCCAGGACGCCCACTGATTCTTGGCGAGGGAACGTCACGCTTCCCTTCGCAAAGCCGTCGGAACCCAAGAAAAACCAGGGCACCCTGGAGGCAGGCAGGGTGCCTCTGGGCATGGGCCCCCACTGTACAATACCCCCCTTCGGACCTGCGCGCCCGACAAATGTCAGGCTATCGGGGGGGGCGGAGGCGGAGGCGGAGGCGGAAGAGGCGGAGGCGGAGGAGGCGGAGGAAAGGCAGGAAGGCCCGAGGACCCGGGCCCCCGCCGGACCCTGGAACAAAACAAAAGAACAGCATGGTGTCGTAACCCTGGGGAGGGCGAGAATTGAGCAGGGACCGACCGTTCCGGCATTCCTGTACAGGCCTATCACGAAATTCTCTCAAATCCCGAAGATGTTTTGCTAACAAATAAAGATTAAAGCATACAACCGCTTTTTATACTTACACTTACATCTATCTATCTATATATATGTATTAAAGCATCTGTTTTTTAAAAAGGCCCTTTGAAAATTCTTTGGTGGGTCTATATAGGCAAGCCAGGACGCCTCGCCCCTGTTTGAAAGAAGAAGAGGGTACCCTGAGATCCGACGTTGCCCAAAAAGTGCAGCATCGCAAAAAAACACGCCCTGACCTCCGGACCCCATCTTTCTGCATCATTTTTCGAGCCGGGTCGATCTGTGAGGGTCCCGGGGCCCGAAACCAGGCGAAAACACCCGTTGTGAAAACATTGCAACGCCAGGATCTCAGGGTAGGGGGGCGGGCGCCAGTGGGCTGAGGCCACGGGGTCGCGAATGGAGAACTCGAGGCGGAAACGTCGCAGCAAGCACCCCACTTGGGGAGACAACAAAAATACCGATAGCGCTACTCCCCAGACCTCTCCTGGGGAGCGTTCTGACCAGAACTTTGAGACGCATCCAGCGGTGGCAACGAGGGCCTCTCAGGAGGCCCAAGGAGAGGAAAACGGGCGCCGGGTAGCAGCATAGGTATACCTTTTCCTCCTCCGAGCCACACCCGGGGGCCCTCCTCCCTCAGCCACGGAGCCGGCGAGCTCAGAGAGCCAAGCCTTAGGTCGGGCATGTCCTCCTACAGGCGGATTTTGGAAGAAAGATCCAACATAGTCAAAGCAAATAATAAAAAATAGCCCCAAATCGTCGAAACATGGTCCCCAGACTATTCCTTTGACTATTTTTCAATACATTCCTCCTGTAGAGGGACACGCCCGACTTACACTGGAGGCTAGTCCATCAGAAACCTTCCACAAGAATCCCAACCATGAGACCCCAGGACGTCCACTGAACGTCACGCTTTCAATCGCAAAACCATCGAAACCCAAGAAACCCAGGGCACCCTGGAGGCAAGCAGGGTGCTTCCTGGCATGGGTCTCCACTGTAAGCCAAGGCCCCCCTTCGGACCTGCGCGCCCGACAAAGGTAAGGCTATCGGGGGGAGCGGGGGCGGAGGCGGAGGCGGAGGAGGCGGAGGAGGAGGCGGAGGAGGAGGCGGAGGAGGAGAGGAGGGGGGAAGGCAGGAGGGCCCGAGGACCCGGGCCCCCGCCGGACCCTGGAAAAAAAAACAGCCTCGTGTCGTAACCCTGGGGAGGGCGAGCCAGGGTGCTTCTCGGCAGGGATCCCCATTGAAAGCCAAGGCCCCCCTCCCCTCCCCGAGAAGGCAGGGCGCCCGGGGCGCGCCTCACCGCCGTCCGGGCCTCTGCCCCCGAGGTTGCTGTGCGCGACCGTGGCGCGGGACATGTGCAGGTCCGCATGGGCCTCGAGGAGCTTGTTCACGCACCTGGCGTTTCGCGCTTTGGGATTTCATTTTTCCCAACCAACCTGTTGTTGGGTCCTCGTTTTGAAGAAACGGTGCCCCGCGTTCCTTTCCTCTACTCCTCCTCCCATCCTCCTCCTACCGTCCGCATGCGTCCCCCCATCCAGTACAACGCTTCGCGGCCCCATAGGGAGCTCCACGGAAGGTTCCAGTTCTACCGTCCGCATGCGTCCCCCCAACCCAGTACAGCGTTTCGTGGCCCTCCTCCCCTTCCTCCCTGCGTTCGCCCACCCAGTACAGCGTTTCGTGGCACCATAGGAAGCCCCACCGAAGGTTCCAGTGCTACCGTCCGCATGCGTCTCCCCCACCCAATACAGCGTTTCGTGGCTCTCCTACCCAACACAGCGCTTCGTGGCCCCATAGGGAACTCCACCGAAGGTTCCAGTGCCACCGTCCGCATGCGTCCCCCCACCCAATACAGCGTTTCGTGGCGCCTTAGAGAACTCCACCGAAGGTCCCACTGCTACCGTCCGCATGCGTCCCGCACACCCACTATAGCGCTTCGTGGTTCCATAGGGAGCCCCACCGAAGGTCCCAGTGCTACCGTCCGCGTGCGCCCCGCACACCTAATACAGCGCTTCGTGGCCCCATACGGATCTCCACCGAAGCCCCCAGTGGGACCGTCCGCGTGCGTCCCGAAACACCAATTTGGCATTTTCGCCCACCCAGTACAGCGTTTCGTGGCCGCATATGGAGCTACACTGAAGGCCCCAGTGCCACCGTCCAGATGCGTCCTGAAAACCCAATGTGGCATTTTCACCCACCCACCCACTACAACGCTTCGTGGCCCCATAGGGAGCTCCACCGAAAGTCCCAGTGGGACCGTCCGCGTGCGTCCCAGAAACTGAATTTGGCATTTGCACCCACCCAGTACAGCGCTTCGTGGCCCCATAGAGAGCTACACCGAAGCCCCCTGTAGGACCGTCCGCATCCCCCTGAAACACAATTCGGCATGTACACCCACCCAGTACGGCGTTTCGTGGCACCACAGGGAACCCCACCGAAGCCCCCAGTTGGACCGTCCGCATGCGCCCCGGAAGCCCAACTTGGCATCTTCACCCGCCCAGCACAGCGTTTCGTGGCCCCATAGGGAGCTACACCGAAACCCCCAGTGGGACCGTCCGCGTGCGTCCCGGAAACCAAATTTGGCACACCACACCCAGCGCAGCGCTTCGTGGCCCCATAGGGAGCTTCACCGAAGAAAATATTCACAATTGCGGCACCCCCACGCATCCGGGAAAAATCAAAACAAAATCAACAAGACGATCACCGTGAATGATCTGCAGACGGCAACGCCTTGCGGGGATCATTCAGTGATATTCGGTTCTCAATATTGGCAGCGAGCGCAGGCGTGCACCAGGGCCAGGTCATCGATATGCCACACTTTGGCTTGCGCGCGCAGTGGCAACATTCGGAGGCGGACGCCGCTTAATGCCTGGGCGCTCTTCTAAACTGATCCTTCACAGGGCCGCTGGCGTGGGCGGTTGAATTTTCTGCCTTGCGGTTTCGTCCCCGCCAGTCGGATGGCTAACATGCAACGCGCAATGCAAACGATATGTTTTGCCGTACAATTGACAGGCGGATATTCTTTGATGCGACGGGCCCCACCTGGTCTGATTTAACATTTTGTGGGCTCCCATCCCTGCGCCATTTTTTGTTATAAACTGTTTCACGGGGGTGGGTATTTCTACATGGGTATTGGGTTTCCGCGCGATGCCCTTTCGTCTTTTAACGTGCCGCCCTGTGGGTCCTGTGGGGCGTGTAGGACTTATGCCCCTGTGGAACTTGTGCGACTTGTGGGACCTGCGAGACTTGCGGGACCTGGGCGACTTGCGGGATCGGTGGGTTTTGCGGGACCTGTGCGACCTGCGAGAGTTGTGGAGTTGTGGGAGCTGCGGGGCCTGTAAGACCTGTGGGACCTGCGCAAAACGTCAGCCTTGTTCGGACCTGCGAGAGTCCTGCGTGACCTGTAAGGTTTGTGGGACCCGCGGGGCCTGTGCGACCTGTGGCACCTGTGGGACCTGTGGGACTTGTGAGACCTGTGAGACCTGCGAGACCTGTGGGGACTGCGAGACTTGTGCGACCTGTGAGGCCTGGGCGACCTGTGGGACTGAGGAGACAAGTGGGACCTGTGAGGCGTCGTCCAACGAACCGCGTTGACGATCCGGCGGGGGGCGGGTTCCATGATGTAAATTCACGCGATGGGTGCAGTTTAGGTTGCATGGCAATCCAAATGAACGATCGGGCGGGTGCGGGTTTAGTGTGTAAGTTCTTACGCAAAACGCACTTCGCGTTAAGTGGCGTGCCCTGGCGCGGCCACTTTGCGATTTTGTGTGCCGCGTTTGGCGCGTACAAAAAAACGGGAAGCATCCATCGTAAAGTGGGAAATGTTTTTTGAATAAAACATGACAGCTGGTTCTCTTAAAAAACTTCGAACAATTCCACTTTGCGATTGATGCTTCCCGTGTGTTTTTCACGCACGAAACGCGGAGGGGGGAAAACAAAAACACACCGTAAAGTGGGTGCGCCGGGGCACGCCACTTTACGCGAAGTGCGTCCCGTGTGTGATTTTACACACTGAACTTGCCACCGCCCTATCGTCAAGTGGGGTCCCTGGGCAATGAGGAGTGCGTCCCGTATGTGAATTTACACCGTGAACTTACCGCGTCCCTGGTGAACCCGCCCGCGTCGAATCGTTGAGTAAATTCGCCACGCATCGAAAGCCTGCCGCCATGAGCGGACTTTCACAGCGAGCCCGCTCCCGCCCAAAAGGGAGTCGCGTCCGACAACGACGGGCGGGTCCTGGGCCCCAGGCCCAGAAAAGAAGCCGTTATTGCCAAAAACGGCGGGCGACGACGACGATGACGACCACGACGACGGCGACGACGACGACGACCACCACGATGACGACGGCGACCACGGCGACCATGACGACCACGACGAAGACGACATGCGTTTTCGCCACATCGCCGGCCACTGTTTAGCTCTCGCTCCTCCGCCAAAACATCATCAGCATCCTCGCTCGCCTCTTCCTTCTAATCCTCCTGCTCCTCCCCCCTCCTCGTTTTCCTCCTGCTTCGTATCTTTACGTCATTTTCCTTCGCGCCCCCCCCAAACCTCCCTGGGAGGCCACGACAGAACAAGGCAGCGGTCCGGGCACCATTTTGTGCATCAGGGACCGCGCGGTTCCCGATCCATCTTCCCGAGCGGCAGAGGTTGCCGACGCTGTAGTGCAATTGCCGCCAGAACGATTGGAACACGCCAAAACAGGTTCGACATCCATGCAGCCGTGAAAAACGATTATAACAAAATAAACAAAAGGATCATCGTGAATGATCTGCGGACGGCAACGCCCTAAGGGGATCATTCAAATATTTTCGCTTCTCAATATATGCAGCGTGCGCAGGCGTGCGCCAGGGAGCCAGGTCATCGATATGCCACACTTTGGCTTGCGCGCCCAATGGCAACATTGGGAGGCGGACGCCACTTAATGCCCAGGCGCTCTTCCAAGTTGATCCTTCACAAGGCCGCTGGCGCGGGCGGTTCCACGTTCTGCCATGCGGTTTCGTTCCCGCCAGTGGGATGGCTAAAATGCAACGCGCAATGCAGACGATACTTTTGTCCGTAATATTGCCAGGCGGATGTCATTTGATGCGACGGGCCCCACCTGGCCTGATTTAGCATCTTTTCGGCTTCCATCCCTGTGCCACTTTTGCTGTATTTCTTTCATGGGGATGTATGGTTGGGTCTTTCGCCGGGATATGCTTAGTTTCTTTACTTCCCAACCATCCTGTGGTGTTCGGTCCTTGTTATGAAGAGACGGTGCCCCGCGTTCTCCTCTTTTCCTCCTCGCCCTCCTCCTCGCCCTCCTCTCTCCTCCCAGTCGGCGTTGGAGGCCCAGGCAATTTGAGCTCCGACGGAATGAGGACTTTCACTGAAACCCATTCACACGACTTCCGCCCCATACATTTTCCAGCGACGGGGGGAGGGAGTAGGGGGGGAGGGAGTAGGGGGGAGAAAAAGCAAAACAATCCCATAGCCGTCCCGATACCGTAACTTTTGCGACTTTTTCTCGCGTGAAAGGGCCGTAATCTGGTGATGGAATTTTCTTGTGCCGCAACTTTCCGAAAGTCTATGCGGGATTGGAGTGTGACCTTGAAAAAAACGACGAGCCAAAGACGAAGAGAACGGAACCGCCGTACCCACGCTAGGACATGCCAGGTTGCTGGGATTGCCATTTGCGAACGACTGGTTGACCAAGAGCCGTCGCTGGACAGCGGTCGCCAGAGGGAAGATGGCGGCCCCGAGGTTCGTAGGCAACCGGAGGGTATCGATGAAAAAACCTCGAAACCCATAAAACAATCAGAACTTTGGGAACAGATGCAGCAGGATATTGAAGACCAACTGCTCCAATGGGGTCCAATAGGGCCTGCTGTGTATTCATCTGTTAGGCGGCGAGCGAAGATAGACGACAACGGTACGAGAGAAGATGGAAGCCCTGCCGTTCGGAGGTCATCGGCTGCGACCGATGAAAAACCTCGCATCTACCCTGATTCCGATGGAAGATTGGAGTGTGACTTTGAAGCAAATAAGGAGGCAGAGAAGCAGATACCTATATAGTTTCGAAAGCATGGCAATGTAGTTCGATTATCAACTGCGTCAATGGAACAAGAGCCAAAGGGAAGATGGAGGCCCAGAGGTTCGGAGGCCACTGGCCTCCGCCAGTGATGAACCTCGAAAACCATCAGTGTCTCTGTCGGCAGATCGGAACATACTGCAGGAAGTTTCTGAAGTGCTTTTGAACAACGCAGGTTCCTTGCTTTGGGCGAAAGAAATTCAACAACAGTTGCCTCCTGGTCTCACACAGCAGGAAGTGGAGGATGCACTGACAGAACTAGAAACATTAGATTTCTTCACAATTTATGGAGGAGGCAAAATCAAATTGAGCCCGACAGAGATGATCC